ACTCCTTTGGGAAGTGATAAAATCCAAACTCCTCTTCTTCTTTCCAAAATACTACTTTTATCATTTATTTAACCTGGAATCTCAGATGATAACTGAGTGGAAATGGCATACTTTTGTCAATTCAAAATGGGCAATTCCACCCGCTCTCTTATGGCCTTAATTATGGCAAGTTCTCCAGGAGCCCGTGGAACTAGAAAGCTACCCCTAAAGCTGGAACTGAGGTGCAGGGAAGATACTCACTTTTAGGACAATTGGTATCTGTCAGGGGTTCAGGAGCAGAGGCAAGGGCAAGGGAGGAAACAGAGAGCGAGGGGGAGGAGGCAGAAGAAAAGATGAGTGATGACGACGACCCGAGATCTCCGAGTCTTTCCAGTGAATCAGAAGATTCACAGAAAGGAGCACCAGTGGCCAGGGCAAGGGGGGAGCCTAGGGGGACCACCCCAGGAAGAAAGGGCCAGAGGGGGCTCAGAGGGGAGCAGTTGGAAATCGGGACCAGCATCACCAACAGAGAGCAGGAAGAGGAAGGGCGCCAGGGATCAAGCGCTGGAAGCTCACAACAGGAGGGAGGGCACGAGTCAGGAGTGGCCACACCTCCATCAGGGAGCGAAGAAAACGGTCAGACGGAAAGTGGAAGGTTGGGCGCGCACGCCAAGTTCAAATGCACAGGAAGGCGGCGCAGTAAGCAGCCCGGAAAGGGAGCCAGGTCCTAAAGCCCGGCGCAAGGAGACAGGAGGGTCCGGGGGGGTCAGCGTCAGAAGAATCCCGGAAGGAAGAGACCCACGGGGGGCAGAGGGACCCAGAGAAGGACGGTCAGGCGGAAAAGGTGGAGTAAGGCTAGGGTATTAAGTTGGTGTACAGGGGGCGGAGGACTCAGACGGAGCTTCGCCGGTCTAACCCTTAAGACGTAGAGCTGCGCGCAGCAGCTTGAGAATGGAAACTGTAACTCAATAAAAGACTTTTACAAGTGACCGCTGGCTAGCGTGATCCTCTGTGAGCTAGGATCGGGGAGAAGCTCTGACAGTATCCTTTCTTAGGAGAACTGTGGACCTGGACGGGACTATAATTTTGTCCAGAGGTCAAGTGGGCCCAAACACCAAGAAACTCTTTTAGAAGTTGCATCCCCAGAGTCCCTCCTGTCATATTTTCTCTTCCCCTGCAGGTTGGCTCGGACAGAGAGGATATCTCAAGCAGTTCCACACCACCAGGTTTTCTCATAAGTCCATGTTAGTAGCACAAAGCATCCCCCCACCTCACCCCACCACCCCCAACATTGGTTCAACATAAGTCGAAATGTGAGTTAAAATCTGACTTCCTTCCATCGTTGCTTGACCTTAATTCTATAAATTATCTTTGCAGTTGTGTTGTTATATTGTATTTGACAAATATCCTGATTTTACTTGCATTTGTAACCTTTTCCCCTTACAAACTTTCTTCTTTACCTATCAATATTTCTGTACTGGAGCAGTGTTTTTTCGTATATTCATTCACGCAACTCCATTCTTTTATTAAATTTTGATTTGTTTGACCTCTGATAGCTGCCATCATTTTGGCCAATTCAACAAATTCAATAACTTTGATTTGCCAATCTATTATTCTGGGTATTAGTGTCTCCCTTCTAGTTCTTTGCTATAAGAACTCTTGCGGCAGCGGATGCATATACGATGCATCATTTTCTTATTTATGGGGATGTCATTTGTTATTAATCCCAAAAGATATGGACTTATTTCTTATTGTTCTCCCATGCAAAATGAAAGAGACATGTGTAGCCACTGCGATGTTATTTTGTCTGTTACCGTGGAAAATTGGGGGGAGGCTTTGATTTATTCTCAACGAGGAGTTTAACATGGATTTATTATGACCTCCCCCCTCGACTGAGGTTGAATGGATTTTATTTAAAATTTATTTTGGATCGGACCAGGCGTGTGATGGAGCAATGCAGAGCAAGAAGAATGAACAGTTGCCTATTGGATCTGGCAAGAGGCCGAATTTGAGAAAAGATTTTGTTCATGGACACTAAATAAGAAATCTGTCAGCTGAGGGAGGAAATGCCTGACATGTTTGCAACAGAGCAGGAAACCTGATTTTAAGAAATTGCAAGAAATTATATTAAAGTAATTGGGTTTAATTAATAATTTGGAGAATTTATACAAATTATTTTTGGGGGGGAGAGGTAATTTGTTTTGGGAAGGAGATATATTTTCCCTATCAGGGAGACTAAAAGGTAGGGAGGCAAATATTTTAAAAAGAGCAGAGTGACGGTTCTTGTCGGGTGTCACTAAGCAGGGAATTCCAAAGAGTACTGCTGCCAACCCTGAAATATTGATTCCTTGGAATTGCAAAGCAAACATTTTGGCATTTATACATGAGCCAGTTCTTTTTGCTGATGAGGGGGACGGGGAGAATTTCTGAGAAGCTTGAACTTGTATTTAGTCTCAAGGGGGAGAAATTCTCAAGGTGTCATGTTTCAAAAGGAGAGAGAGAGAAAGTCACAAGGTCAACAGGTGGGGCAGGATCCCAGCTTCAGCACCACCCATATCCACCCCAGAGTGGCTTGTTCTCCCCCTGAACTTCTCAAAATAAGTTGTGATAGAGACCCTGGATGCACATTTGCCCACAGAGACCTCCCTGGTGTCCACAGGGTCCCATCTCTCTCTCCCCCCTCCATTTTAGGAAAACAATTTTGCTTAATTTAACATGTGTTGTTCCATTTTCACTAATGCTTGTATTGCTTGGAACACTTTATGATCAATGCATACAAAACATGCATGCACTGATGTGCACACATTTCCCTAGTACAAGGGAAATGCAAGTTTGTACATATTAATTGGCTGCGAAACAGCAAAACAAAATGCAGACAAGTATGGATTTCATCTGTCATGGATGGTTTAGCTAAGATTCCTGCATTGAAAGGGGTTTGGTCTAGATGACCCTTGGGAGACCTTCCAATTCTACCATTCTATGATTTTATGATTCTAACTAAGTGCTAAAAGCAGCATGGATACTAAACTCAACATAGATGCAGTAAAGTTAATGCCTTGTGCTGTCATACTGTGAAAGATAAGACCTGCAACTTGTACTGAATTTCAGTGTGAAAACCTCGTGCACATTTCCTATTTTTAGCTCACAGCTTACTCAGCCTGGAAAACTGTTTCACTGCCTCAAATGCTTTCCAATCTTTGCTCGCATGTGGTTTCCCTCCTTTGGAAGCTTTGGGGCTGTGACGTGCAGCATTTCTTATGCCTGGGAATAAAAGCAGAAGCCTGTTGATGTACCAGCGAGGACGAATCAACTCTCCATCAGCAGCAGCCACATCTGAGATGCCCTATATTGCGGGCCTGAAATATTCATGAATTTTGTGATCCTTCTCTCCTTTGGTCCATTGATCTTCTCTTCCCTAGGTAAGTCCTTGCAAAGAAAGGTGAATGCAAAGGGTGAAAAGCAGTAAGTTTGCGTGGTCATGAAGGAGAAAGAAACTGAGAGTGCTGGGGTCAACTGGAGAATAGGCCCCCTTCCCAAAAGCTCCCCCCCCATCTCAAAGTCAATGTGTTTTGTCACCTGCTGGGGGCTCACATTCCACTGACAAGAGCCCCCACCACTCCAGACCTTCTCCTCTTTCCACCACTGCTTTCTCATTCTGGCCCAAACCATCATGGTGGCTGTCGTGGGCCCAGGGGGTTTGGGGTGCTGGCCAGAGGAGGCAGGGGACAGGGAGGAGTTGCCCAGGCAGGATCCCCCAGAGGGACCAGTTTGACTGGGAAGCTCAATGAGCCATCCATGGGGAGGATCCTAGAAAGGTCTTAGTGGGGAGGGTTCCCCTTGTCCCATCCAGGCTGCCTGTGAGTCACCCTAGTGTGCAGCACTGGCCTCGTCTTCAGAAATGCCAGAGTCAGGCTATGACTCAACCATTCTATCTGTGGCATCACTGGCTCCACCTCTGGAGCTGACCGAGGCTGCCCCATCCCATCTCTCAGGAGGAGGCTGCCTTCTCTGTCTGCTCTAGAGGAGTCCTCTCCCCCCTTGCATAGGTCCCAGAAATGCCATAACAAGTCAGAGCCACCCTCCCAGAGGAGGGTCATTTCCTTATGCAGCCTCAGGAACATGCCCTTGTGCTGTGCTGAGTTGCTCCCCTCCCCTCCCCATAGAATGCTGCTTTTTAGATCAAGGTCTTAACTTGCCTAGCCAGAAATGGCACCTGCTGCATATTCAGATCATGTCTTGCCTCTGTATGGTACCAGTTTGAGCATTAGAAGCTTCAGTAGAAACTATGTGCGCTGCATCACACTGTTGACTCCTTCTAAACTTTTGATCTACTAAGACTGCAAAATCTCCTTCACGTGTACTACTAGCAAGCCAGGTGTCCCTCATCTTATATTTGTGCTGCTTGTTAAAAAGGTAAAGGTAAAGGTACCCCTGCCCGTACGGGCCAGTCTTGACAGACTCTAGGGTTGTGTGCCCATCTCACTTAAGAGGCCGGGAGCCAGCGCTGTCCGCAGACACTTCCGGGTCACGTGGCCAGCGTGACGAAGCTGCATCTGGCGAGCCAGACCTGCACACGGAACGCCGTTTACCTTCCCGCTAGTAAGCGGTCCCTATTTATCTACTTGCACTTTGACGTGCTTTCGAACTGCTAGGTTGGCAGGCGCTGGGACCGAGCAACGGGAGCTCACCCCGCCGCGGGGATTTGAACCGCCGACCATGCGATCCGAAAGTCCTAGGCGCTGAGGTTTAACCCACAGCGCCACCCGCGTCCCGTGCTGCTTGTTATTCCTGCCTAAATTCTCTCTGAATTGCTATATGGTGCCCCTGCAGCCTCATTCTCAGCCACACACATTTAAATTTTCAAGAAAGAATTAAAAGTTGCTCTGGCACCTTTTTATTTTGAACTAAAACAGTCCCTGTTCAAGTGGAGCCCATCCCTTTTGTACAGGCCCAGGTTGCCCCAGAATGTTCCCCAGAGCAAAACGAATCCAAACTCCTTCTCCAAACACTATCATGTCATCCACATATGGAGACCACACAGCTCTGCTTGTCCATCTGGCCCTGCATGTGGAACTGGTAGTATTTCAAAGAAAGCTACCTTAGAGGTCCTGACTTTCAATATGCTACCCAGCATCCTAAATTTGGCTTCCAGGATCCCTAGACTACATTTCCCCATGTCACTGGTGCCAACATGTACTGTGGCCACTGACTCCTCCCCAGCACTGTCTGCCAGGCTATCTAGCCAATGAGAGGCAGTGGAGGAAGCCTCTCAGGCACCTAGGGCAGTGTGCCCGGGGGGGGGGGTGGCATATACCACCTGTCAGGAATCGGATCGCAGAGAAGGGGGGAGAGACCGGAATGTACAGAGAGCCTCCTCAGATGAGCAGCTGTATTTCGTCAGAGTCCGAGGAGGACGGACTGTCAGGAGACACAGAAGATGAGAGGGAGAAGATGATAGTAGAGAGAAAGGAGCAGCTTCTGGCACTTAGTTTTTCATGTATGGAGAGGAGAAGGGGGGGGGGTGTTTCAGGAAGCTTTTCTGCTGGAGGGGGAACAGGCGAGAGCCACTTCTGGAAACTGAAAGTGATTGAGGCAGACTTGCTTTCAAGAGCTCCATATAGTACATAGTTTTGCACTTAATAAATCCTGTAAAAGACAAGCTGGAATCCCGGGCTGTTATCTCTGCAAGCACCCACGTATCACCTTGACACCACCCATAGGTGTGCAGCATGGGGCGCATGGCGCCCTTAGGGAGGGATGGGATGGGGCGCGCCGTGGGGTGTCAGCTGCCCTACAGCTGGGTGGGAGGCGGCAGGCAGGCAGCACAGAGGACATTCTTTGTGACAGGCTGCTAAACTGTAGAATGATGTCCCTCCCTGAAGAGGTGACCTGGCACCTTTAGTGTAGAGTTTCCATTACATGCTGAAGATTCACCTCTTTTCCCTACCGTTCACACCTGCCATATCATTTTTGGACCTTCCCGCTCAATTGTTAATGCTGCATTTTAAATTGTTGTCACCTCCTCTAGGACCTCACAAAAGAGGATGGATAAGAAGCTCAAAATGATAATGATACTAATTTTCACCTTTGTTTGTATCTCCTCCCCCACCACTCTCCCCTCACTAGAAACTGTAAGCCATGCAGTGGGGAATCCAACCCACCAGGTGAAGGGAATCCTAGGAGGATCAGTCTTGTTTCCTCCCAACATATCTCAAGGAATAACAGTGCAGAAAATGGAATGGGACTTTTACCCCCAAAGGGGTGGCCTGGGCTTCTGGCTGGGGGAATTCAGTCATGGGAAACTGGAGCACCCAAGTCCCACCGACCGGTTTGGACAACGGCTAGACATGGTGGATGAGACAACACTGAGGATCAAAGACCTGGAGTTGGATGACAGTGGGATCTACAATGCTCGCATCTGGATTACTAAGGCACAGTTTCAAGAACAGAGTTTCAGCCTCACAGTTTATGGTAAGTTATTGCTTTCATGGAATAGGATCAGCACCATTTCCCAAATAGGTACTGGGAGGGGAGGGGTACAAACCTCATGCTGATTACATTTGTTTTCTACAGAGCAATGGTTTCAATCTAACCTTCTGTGGTAAGCAACCATTTTCACTGTTCTGAACAAGGTTCCGCATTGGTCCCATTTCTCCTATGCAGTTACAGAGAGTAGTGGGATGCAAACCTTATACTGATTTCATTTATGTTTCCACAGAGCCAGTGCCAACACCACAGATAGACCACCAAGGGGAATCCAAGACTCCAGGTGGATGTAATGTGACCTTGCAATGCCACACACCTGGAAGGAAAGATCTCAGTATCTCCTGGGAAACAGGGGATCCACACAGGGCCTTAGAAAAGAGTGTAAATCAGTACCAGGTTTCTGACAATGGCCGGGAGCTCCGTGTCTTCTACTGGAACAATTCTTTCGACTCCAAATTCACCTGCCTGGTCAGCAATCCCGTTGATCAAAAGGGAGTCTCCTTTAATTTGCTCAACATCTGCCGGAGTGATGAAGGTGAGTAATGCATACTTTCCTTCATTATCCAGCAGAGGTGCTTGTGGTGGTGAATATGCAGACCCACCCTTAACATGAGGGATTTGAGGAGATGTGTTTGTATTAGTAAATGCTGCTCTTCGCATGCTTGTGAGCAGGATCGGAGCATATACAGAGCTCCTTGAAGATGGATCTGATCCTGTGAATTGCTGCTGCTGCTCCCATCTCCTCCTTTTTCTGCCTTAAGAAATTGATTCAGGGCAGGCAAGTTTGCCTGACAGGCATTCACATCCCAAATCATCGCAATACAAAGGGGACAGATTAGCAGCACTTCCTTATCTCTTGTTATTAATTCTAAGACTCTCAGTCAGGTGTGAGCATGAGACTTTGAATCTCGGGATCATGGGTTCAAGCCCTGCCTTGGGCCAAAGATTCCTGCAATGCAGCGGGTTGGACTAGATGACTCTATTTGTCCCTTCCAACTCTACACTTCTATGATTCTGTGAGAGTCACTCTGTTGGTTTTTATTAGAGTATGTTTTGAGAGACTCTTATTGTTCATTGCAGGTGGACACCTTCGACTCTTGAGTCAATTGGTTATTTTCCCCGATTTGGTTATTCTTCTGGTGACAGTGGTGGTGGTGATGGTGATGGTGATGTGGATGTGCTGGAAGATAAGAAAGGAAAGGAATACAAGAGGTAGTACCGTCTCTGTTGATCTTCTTCCCATCTCTCCTGAGATGGGGGCTTCCTGCCAAATATACCACTTCCTTTATTTTGTTTATTCCGAGGGGCAGAAACTGGTCAGTGTCATGGACTCAGTAATGTGACTCATGTTGTGTTCCACAGGTATTCGTTCTCTGAAGCAAAAGGGGAACAGTCCTCTTGCACTCCAGAACTCAAAAATGATCGACCCAGAAGATGGTGATGATGAGGTGAGATGACCGGTGTGCAAAGTAATGATGGAGTGACTGCAGATAATAACAATGAAAGCATCTGATACATTTGGCATTTAATACTTATGATATTATTATTTAAATTGTAATCTGTTTTTTTTAAAAAAAAGAAACAACAACAAACAGATTTCAAAGAGGCCAGTGACCCCATAATAAATGGCCATCAATTTGGCACAACCCGTCCCTGTGAACCATCTCTGCTCGTCTGTGAGAGGATTCTCTTATAATTATCTTTCGCTGGCACTAGACTCCATCCCATCCAGCCAAGATAAATACTAGCATCTCTCCTTTGTGCTGAAAAGGCTCATATTTCCATGTACAGTGAAACTGCATGTTTGTATACTCCTTTGGGGGAAAGGAGTTTCAAATTATTTCCAAAATTACACACCAATCCCTTTCACCCACATCAGCTCTTGCCTTGTTATCAAAAGACACAAATTTAAACAATAAATGCAGAGACTTTGATTTTTTTACTATTATCAGCAGCCCAATTTGCCCGATACTGGAAACAACCTATAGAAATCCCAAATGAAATCTGGATAAATAACATTTGGAATTACCATAGAATTACCATAGAAGGGTATTTAAAGGCACTTCAAAGACTGACACTTTCGGCGGGACTTGGCTTCCATTCTTTTCCTTTCTAAAATGAGACAAAATATATAGTTTTATTCCACCCACAACATAAGAAACTCTGTGGAGAGGCTCCTTGAATTGACAATGCATAAATAAATGTAACACTTGTGTACTGCGTACTGCATAAGAAACTTAATAAGAATGTACCACTAGATAAGTTACTGTAGTTATATGTTGCTCTTGTATTTACAAAAAAATAAAGGAAAGTAATTTGGATTAAAGAAAACAAAACCAGGCCAGTGACCCAAAAGTTCTGATCAAAAGACCTAACTAATGGATTATGACACAAGGGGAGGCAGGCATCCTGTTCCCATCAGGGGAACATGTATGCACAGTTAAAGTGAGCAGAATTGAACCCTCCCCTCTCCAACTAGTGAACAGAGATTTCAGCCCCCTGGCCGCAGGGCTCTGCTTCCCGCATCCTCCCCCCAGTGAACCCAACAGGATTGTCCTCTCCACTCACCAGCTGTTCTGGACTCTTCCCAAAATACTACTGTCATCATTTATTTAACCTGGAATCTCAGATAATAATTGAGTACTGGAGAATGGAAATGACATATTCTTGTCAATTCAAAATGGCCAATTCCACTTACTCTCTTAGGGACTTATGGTAATCATGGGAAGTTCTCCAGTGGAACTAAAAAGCTATCCCTAAAGGCTGGGACTGAGGTGTAGGGAAGATGCCTGCTTTTCGGCAAATTGGTATCCCTTCTTGGAGAACACTGAACCTGGACGGGACTTTAATTTTCTCCAGGGTTCAGGTGGGCCCAAATGCCCAGAAACTCTTTTAGGAGTTGAATCCCCAGAGTCCCACCTGTCATATTTTTTCTCCAATGCAGATTGAACACTGCATCCCACAAACCAACACGGGAGATCAGGCACATCTCCTGCAGCCACTGCCAAGGAATTCATTTAAGGTTCCTCAGGGAAAAGACCCATTAAAGATCTCTCAAAGCTGCCAGTTAAGTCGGAGCTACAGCCTACCCAGCACCTTTAAACACTCGTCCCAAGAGCCCCGTGACCAGGCCAAAGGGCAACATACCAAGACTTATCCAGTGACTATGGATGGAGTCTCCTTGAGAACAAGGAATCTCAGGAATGCCTTCATGACCAGCACCAGCAAGAGTGTATAAGGCACTCCTCTTCAGTCTTGCTGTTGATGGAAACAGCACAGGAAAGACTGGGTGAGTGAAGATATTCATCAGGAATAGGGGAGGTGGAGAGATAAAAATCTGCAATGGATCAAGGAATGCATAAAGATTTACATCAGAAAGAAGCATGGGAGCAGCACCTCCTATTTGCCACTATGTCCCTGCAGAGGCAACATCGAAGGCCAACATTGCCAAGGAGATGGAAGAGCTGGCCTCAATGCTGATTGAACTCTGCATCCCATAGACCAACCTTGCAGGTTGACTCGGACAGAGAGGAATTCTTGAGCAGTTCCGCACTACCCAGAGAATCCTTTCCTTATCTTGGTTCTTATGCAGTCTTAGACACAGAGCCCTCAGAAATTACACACTGCATCCCAACATGAGACATCAGTAACATCTCCGGGAGCCACTGCCAATGAATTCATCGAGGGTCCCTCTGTTGAAAGACCCATTGAAGATCTCTCAATGCTGCCAGTTGAGCCGGAACTACAGCCTACCCAGCAGCCTTAAACACTGGCCCCAAAAGTCCTGCGACCAGGAAAGAGAGCAACATACCAAAACTTATCCAGTGACTATGGATGGGGGTCTCCTTGAGAACAAGGAGTCTCAGGAATGCCTTCATCACCACTAGCAACCAGAATATATAACGCACTCCTCTTCATCCTTCCTGCTGATGGAAACCCAGGTGCCGTGCCTCTCTCTTCCTACTTTGCTTGGACTCTGGTTAACACTTTTATAAACGTGTGTGTGTGTATCTGAAGAAGTGTGCATGCACATGAAAGCTTATACATAGGACAAACTTAGTTGGTCTCTAAGGTGCTACTGGACTATTTTTTTATTATTATTTCGACTGCATAAGACCAACACAGCTACCTACCTGAAAACAGAAAACAGCTGAGGGACACTAACAATAAAAGAGAACTCCTTTCCCCTTGCCCCAGGTGTGAACAGAGACTGGGGATTCGGAAGGTTTTCAGGGTAACTGCTTGGGGAGGGTGCAAGGGTTAATGGGAGGAAGAAGGAGGAGGAGGAAGAGCTGAGAGCTATCTTGGGCATGTTGTCTGCAGGCACTGCTGTCCCTTGAAATGACCAAGCCATAAGATCTGGAATCCCTCCATGCAGACTGAAGGTGTAAATAGGTGAATAAACCCTATTTCTTAAACCTACAACAGTCTCTGTTGTGTCTTCCATTCTCCAAAGGGAAACAGATCCTCTTTGGGCTCCTGGGATCCCATAGGCTCTTTCCACCGCTGGGCAAAGAGGGGGGCAGGCAGCAGACTTTTGCAGCAATACATTGGACTGGAGCACAAGGTTGTTTTCCTTCTTCTCCCTGGCAAAACATCCACAAAAGAGACTTTCTATTGGGAAGGAGGCATATTTTCCCTACCAATAAGACGAAAAAGGAGGGAGGCAAATATTTTAACAGCAGCAGAGTGATGGTTCTTGTCTGGTGTCAATAAGCAGGGAGTTCCAAAGAGTAGTGCTGCCAACCCTGAAAGATCGATCCCTTGGAAGTGCAAAGCAAACATTTTGGCATTTATACATGAGCCAGTTCCATCTTCATTTGGTTCTCTCCTTGCTTCTTCTCCTCACCCCTCATCATAACGTGGGATGAGGTGGAAAGTTTTTGAGAAGCTTGAACTTGTGTTTAGTCTCAAGGGGCAGAAGATCTCCAGGTGTCATGTTTTAAAAGGAGAGACACAGAGAGATAGTCTGAAGTGGGGCAGGATCCCAGCTTCAGCACCACCCATATCCACCCCAGAGTGGCTTGTTTTCCCTCTGAACTTCTCAAAATAAGCTGGCCTAGAGACCCTGGAGGCACATTTGCCCACAGAGACCTTCCCTGGCCCCATTAGCTAAAGTGGTGCTTCAGGTTAAGAACAGTTTCAGGTTAAGTACGGACCTCCGGAACGAATTAAGTTTTTAACCCGAGGTACCGCTGTACCGTGCTATATTAGAAGCAACAAAACTTGTTTTGATGAATTGGAAGAGCTGCAAAAAGATTCAATTGAGCACATGGAATGATAATATGAACAGATTAGCTACATACGAACGAATTAAGCGATAAGGCGGATAGCAGTGGCAAGTGGAGGGAGGAGAGGGAGGTGGGAAAATATTGTTAATAAGATGCAGTCATAGGTATATCTTTGTATTCAAATCTGAATTGTCAAATTGTGTTATTATTCTTATTATGTTTTTGTTGTATGTGTCTTTCGTGGTTGTTGTTTGTATCGAAAAAAAATGATTTATTTTTTTAAAAAAGGTTGTTTTCCCTCTTCTCCCTGGCAAAACATCCACAAAAGAGATTTTATTTTGGGAAGGAGACATATTTCCCTACCAGGGAGACTAAAAAGGAGCGAGGCAAATATTTAACAACAGCAGAGTGACGGTGCTTGTCTGGGGTCAATAAGCAGGGAGTTCCAAAGACTAGTGCTGCCAACCCTGAAAGATCAATCCCTTGGAATTGCAAAGCAAACATTATGATATTTATACATGAGCCAGTTTTTCTTGCTCTTTGGTTCCATCTTCGTTTGGTTCTTTCTTTGCTTCTTCTCCTCACCTCTCATCAGACTGTGGGATGGTCGTTGTGCTCTTGAATGAGGGAGGAAGGGGAGGGTTTGTGAGAAGCTTGAACGTGTATTTTGTCTTAAGGCAGAGAAGTTCTCCAGGTGTCATGTTTTAAAAGGAGAGAGAGAGAGAGAGAGAGAGAGAGAGAGAGAGAGAGAACAAGTGGGGCAGGATCCCAGCTTCAGCACCCCCATATCCACCCCAGAGTGGCTTGCTCTCCCCCTGAACTTCTCAAAATAAGCTGGGCTAGAGACCCTGGAGGCACATTTGCCTACAGAGACCTTCCCTGGTGTCCACAGGGTCCCATCTACCCCCTCCCAATTTTAGGAAAACAATTTTGCTTAATTTAACATATGTTGTTCCTTTTTCACTAATGCTTGTATTGCTTGGAACACTTTATGATCAATGCATACAAAACATGCATGCACTGATGTGCACACATTTTCCCAGTACATGTATTTTTGTACATATTAATTGTCTGCTGAACAGCAAAGCAAAATTCAGACAAGTGTGGATTTCCTCTTTCATGGATGGTTTAGCTAAGATTCCTGCATTGAAGGGGGTTGGACTAGATGACCCTTGGGAACCCTTCCAATTCTACCATTCTATGATTCAAACCAAGTGGTAAAAGCAAGGTAGTAAACTAAACATAGATACAGAAAAGTTAATGCCTCATGTTATCATAGTGCGAAAGATAGGACCTTCAACTGACTTTCAGACGTTTTGAAATTCTGTGTGGGCACCACGTGAGCGTTTCCTGTCTTTAGCTGACAGCTTTCTCAGCCTCGAAGATGGTTTCACTATGTCAATTGTTTTGCAACCTTTCCCTCTTAAACCAAGCTTTGGGGCTGTGCGCTGCAGCATTTCTTATGCCTGGGAATAAAAGCAGAAGCCTGTTGCCGTACAACTGTGGGCAAATCTACTCTCCACCAGCAGAAGCCACACCTGAGGCTCCCTATATTCCTGGCCAGAAATATTCATGAATTTTGTGATCCTTCTCTCCTTTGGTCCATTGATCTTCGCTTCCCTGGGTAAGTCCTTGCAAAGAAAAGATGAATGCATAGCGTGAAAATCTATAAGTTTGCTTGGTCGTGAAGGGGAAAGTAACTGACAATGGTGAGCTCATCTGGAGAATAGGTCTCCTCCCTGGAAGTCCCCCCCCCATCTCAGGGTCAATGTGTTTTGGCACCTGCTGGGAGCTCACATTCTGTGAGGGGAGAGACTCCATCAGGCAAGGCTCCTTCCTCCTCCCCTGCTCCACCCTCTAGTCTCTGCTTCTCAATTTGTATTGTATTATTATTGTATAATTTTATGTATTGTGGCTTGCCGTTGTTTTATTGATGATAGTTTAGACATTATTTATTGTAACTGTTGAGTGGATTTCTGTTTAACTTTTATATGTTATTATTAGTTAATACTATTCTAATGATTGCAGGGACAGGGGGCGGGTGGCTGTGGGGGACTCCCTGGTCCTGAATGGGGTAACTGTGCCCCTGAAGGACCAGGTGTGCAGCCTGGGAGTCATTTTGGACTCACAGCTGTCCATGAAGGCGCAGGTCAATTCTGCGTCCAGGGCAGATGTCTCCCAGCTCCATCTGGTACGCAGGCTGAGACCATACCTGCTCGCAGACTGTCTCTCCAGAGTGGTGCATGATCTAGTTATCTCCCGCTTGGACTACTGCCATGCACTCTACGTGGGGCTACCTTTGAAGGTGACCCGAAAACTACAACTGATCCAGAATGCAGCAGCTAGACTGGTGACTGGGAGCGGCTGCTGAGACCACATAACACAGGTCTTGAAAGACCTACATTGACTCCCAGTATGTTTCCGAGCACAATTCAAAGTGTTGGTGCTGACCTTTCAAACCCTAAATGGCCTTGGCCCAGTATACCTGAAAGATCGTGTCCACACCCATCGTTCAACCTGGACACTGAGGTACAGCGTCGAGGGCCTTCTGGCAGTTCCCTCACTATGAGAAGCAAAGTTGCAGGGAACCAGGCAGAGGGCCTTCTCGGTGGTGGTGCCCGCCATGTGGAATTCCCTGTGGAACTATCTGATGTTCAGAAGACATCTGAAGGCAGCCCTGTTTAGTGAAGTTTTTAATGACTTATGTTTTAATGTACTTTTAATCTTTTGTTGGAAGCCGCCCAGAGTGGCTTGGGAAACCCAGCCAGATGGGCGAGGTATAAATAATAATACAGTGGTACCTCGGGTTACATACGCTTCAGGTTATAGACTCTGCTAACCCAGAAATAGTACCTAGGGTTAAGAACTTTGCTTCAGCATGAGAACAGAAATCGTGCTCTGGCGGAGTGGCGGCAGCAGGAGGCCCCTTTAGCTAAAGTGGTGTTTCAGGTTAAGAACAGTTTCAGGTTAAGTAAGGACCTCTGGAATGAATAACCAGAGGCACCACTAGTAGTAGTAATTATTATTATTATTATTATTATTATTATTATTATTATTATTATTATTATTCTGGCCATGCATATGGAGCTAGTAGTATTTCAGAGAAGGCTACCTTAGAGGTCCTGACTTTCAATATGCTACTCAGCACCCTAAATTTGGCTTCCAGGATCCCTAGACTACAGTTCCCCATGTCACTGGTGCCAACATGCACTGGGGCCACTGATTCGTCTCCAGCGCTGTCTGCCAGGCTATCTAGGAAATGAGCAACATCCACAACCTTCGTTCACCCCATGGTTCATCACACACCCAACTATATTCTTAACTACCACGATCCCACCACCCACAGGAGAGGCATCTTCCTACAAGAGGCAGTGATGACCACCATCCTGTACGGCGTGAAAAGAGGATGAGATACATTTGTGGAGGAGAAGACTGTTGAGGGATTCTAGGCAGGATGGCTCTCCTCTGTCTTCTCCACTGAAGGCAGCAATGCTTCTGAATGCTGGAAACCACAGAAGGAGAGAGCATTCTGGCACTCAGGTCCTGTTTGCCAGTTTCCCACTGGCATCCGGATGGCTACTGTGAGAAGAACAGGATGCCAGGCTAGATGAGCCACTGACAGGATCTTCTTTTCCTGATCTGCCTCTTGAGTTAATTTTGGGGTCTGAGGCATATGAACATTTCTTTGGGGTTCAGTGACCTCTGAGTTTTGCTTCTTTGAACCTCTTTCAAGCAAATAAAAAGCTGGGCAAGTAGAATGCTCTTGTTGTTGTTAAACTTGTAACAGCTTCCTCAATCTGCAAAAGCTGCCAGCTCTTTTCATTGCTTTTAGTGTGCCCATATCTGTCACAAAACGTTTGTTATTAGCCAGTCTTTGCAAAGAGAGCAATTCTCCTCCTCCCCTACAAACCACACACAGCACTACACTTCCATAGAGAAGCAAACATGTCTTTTTCTTGCAGACGTTTCCTCTTCAGAATGTTGCTGTACTTTCCCACACTTTGTTCTGAAGAGCAATAAGACCTGCGCCAGCAGCTGGTTTCTTCAGGAGGTTGGGGAAGAGACTGACCATGATTGTTCTCCCTGACATTTGCCTCTTGCAGTTGCCAGACTCCTCGGGAGAAGGATATGGGAGCCAGCTGTATGCCATCTTCCCCTCTGAGCTGTATTTAAGCCAGGCTGCTTGGAGTGTAGCAAGAACAGGGCCAGAAACATTATCTCTTGTGTTGCTTTGTATTTGCACAGACAGGCGGAGACCCCCCAACTCCAGACAACAACCGAGTAGAATAATGACTCAAGACAATGTGTTATGGAATTAAAATTTTGGCCACAACTTTATTAAAACTTCAAATGCAGGGAGACCTTGGCTTAGGCATTGGACAATTATCCCTCCCAGATCTGGGGAACATCAGGGTTATCCAGAATGTGTGGGGACTGAGCTGGCTCTGGAGAGCAATGACAACCTATTGGCATATTGCCAATGCCTCCCCTGAAAACAACCCCTTTAACAGGGAACCCTGGGATCGCCACCACAGGGGGGATGTGGGTCACCCCTTCATGCCCCCTCCACAATTTAGGGAAGATAGACTAAAGGTTTCTACCCAAGGCCTGAAACCACCAAAGTTGTGACGTTTTGCTATGGGGATAGCAATGCAGGAAAATTCCATTCTGGCCCTTTAATAGCAACCATAACGTAGCAGCGCCCGAGTACCTGTGAGGAAGAGGTTAACCTGCAAAAGAAGGCTTAACTGAGGGAGGGCAGGGTGGGAGAAGCTGTGAAGTGGCCTGAGAACTCCCAGGTAAGTTCCGGCCACTATTGTGTGGGCTGGGTGATCCCTCCCCTTACTTAGCCAACTCTCTCCTGGCAACACCTCCCCAGCTGGGATTGGGAAACTGGCAAAGGTAGGCCTCTAGGTGTCCTGCCTGGCAGGGGCGAATCCAGGTTGTACTGCCGGAAGCCACATGGGATGGGGGGGGCTGCGTGCGACCACGCAAAAGGGGCCCCCTGTTTTATGTCGGGAGCGGTCATTATGTACTTAAGCCCCGATTTGGGGGGCGGAGTTTAATATTGAATTTATTCTGTACTTGCCAAATTGTTTATTTCTGTCATTTTTTTAGTTTACTGTCATATTCTGTATTTTGTACATTTGTATTTCCAATGCTCTGTGTTTTGAACGTTTGCTGTGAGCCACTTTGGGCTCAGCTCCTTGCGGAACAGACACATATCAATCAATCCCAGTCAAGAGACAGCTGCTTACTGGTTACCAGTACTTTTTTTCTGTGGGGACGCAGGGTTACACATGTGGGATGTAAACACAGGAGCAGTCAATGACAACATTCCTAGAGTGTACATGTTAGAACATGGTGGGGATGTCTGTCCAGCAAGCAGGTAAACTTCCTGGGGACGGACTTCCTCCACATGTGACTAGAGGTGGGTGTGGCCTCACCTGTGCAGGTGATGACAAAAAGCACAGGGCAGGCAGCCATCTCTCTCTCTCTGCCATTTTCCTTCGATGAGGAAACATCTAAGGATGCTCTCTTGGCTCCCAGCCAAGAGAGGAGATAAGGCCTATCTTGCTATGAGATAGATTTTAAATCTATGTAACCTTTTTAAGCCTGTTGCCGTCTGGGATCACATTGTGAACAGAACGTGAGTAAACTCTTTTATACTTTTATGAAGACTGTGTCGTGTCTTGTATTTTAAGAGGGAACTAAAGGGGAAATTACCAGGGTAATTATTATAGAGGTTCTAGCGAACCTGTGCAACGTTACCGTTGCGTACTAAAGGGGAATGTATGTAAACTCTGCTGATATTTTGGGAACTTGTTAGCACAAGTTGGATCAGGATATAATTAGTCAATATATCCTTTCCTGCACCCCAGAACATTCCCACAACACATACCCCTAAACATTTTGTGAATCTAAGTTTGGCCTCATTGGGGGCCATATTTCAATATGAGTGAGAAAATGAGAGTACCCCTAAACATTTTTTAAAAGAAAAAAAAGTAGTGTTGGTCACTGGAACCCAGTTCCCCGTGAGGGTGGGGCAATGCCACAGTGATCTTTGTTATTGAGCTCAGTTTGTAGGAGAATCTGCACATATGACGAAGGTGGAAGTTAGAGAGCCCAACCATGGGTGGTGCCAGAGTCAACGAGAGGTAGAGCCAACTAATTCTAGTTCTGTTTCTGTCTGCGATACTAAGAGCTACAAGTGTAACACAGATACTAAGGAGGAGGCAGTGCCTGGGCTAGTTTAAAGTAAAAAAGAAGATGTCTAAAGACAGGCTGAAGCTGGCAAAGGCAGTGCCCCACTCACCCTCAGGGAACAGTCTCCACTGCTGTGAAGTGTTGCTGCACATTTGCAACTGTTTCTCTTCTTTGCAAAGGTTTTGCAGGACTCCGAAAGGTTGGCGATCTCCAAATGTTGGTGAGAATCAAACACCTAATCTTAATAGAAAACTTTATCAGGTACACAGGAAGGAGTACAGCAGGTGTGCATTGCTAAAACACATAGAAGAACCCTGAGCTCACAACTCTTTCTCCTCCTCCACTGCTCCTTGCTTGGAATTACCTTTGTACTTGTAACAATGTCCTTCTCCTACAGGAAAGGACCACGTTAGGATAGCTAGGAGAATGTAATAAATGTTTAACTCAGGAATCCCCAACCTGCGGCTGTCCAGACGTTTGGCCTACAACTTCCATGATCCCTAGCTAACAGGCCCAGTGGTCAGGGATGATGGGAACTGTAGTCCCAAACATCTGGGGGGGCGAAGGTTGGGGGTGCCTGGTTTAACTAGAGAGTTGATCAGTTCAAGTGGGTCGATGTACAATTCGGCAACAGTTACAATTAATCGTGGAAATTGTAAACTTCCTTTCAGTTAGGTCTCAAATACCTGGGAGACTACTTGCTTCCCCATAGACCATCACAGCTGTTAAAACCAGCAGAAGGGGCACTCTTGGTAGTTTCACCTTCCTTAAACTTTTGGGGGGAGTGTCAGCCCAGGAGGAAATCTTCTTTGTGGCAGGCTGCTGTATTTAATGCTGCATTTTAAATGATTGTAACCTGCTCTGGGAACCTTATGAAGGAGGATGAATAAGGAGTAAAAAATGTTAATGGTTCTAATTTTCACCTTCTTCTTCTTCTTCTTCTTCTTCTTCTTCTTCTTCTTCTTCTTCTTCTTCTTCTTCTTCTTCATATCTCCTCCCCCCCTCCCCTCACTAGAAGCTTTAAGCCATGCAGTGGGGAATCCAACTCATCAGCTGAAGGGAATGCTGGGAGGATCAATCTTGTTTCCTGCCAATGTATCTCAAGGAATAACAGTGCAGAAAATGGAATGGGACTTCCGTCCACAAAGGCGTGACCTGGGCTATTGGCTGGGGGAATTCAGTCATTGGAACCGAGACCATCCAAGTCCCACTGGCCGGTTTGGACAACGGCTAGACAGGGTGAACGAGACAACACTGAGGCTCAAAGACCTGGAGTTGGATGATGGTGGAATCTACAATACTCGTATCTGGTTTACTAAGACACAATTTCAAGAACATCGTTTCAAACTCACTGTTTATGGTAAGTTATTGCTTTCACTGTTTGGCTCATGGAAGAGGATCAGCACCATTTCATTACATAGGTACTGGGAAGCATATGGGACCCAAACCTTATGCTGATTTCATTTGTTTTCCACAGAGCCAGTGCCAACACCACATATAGACCACCAAGTGGAATCCAAGACTCCAGGTGGATGTAATGTGACCTTGCGATGCCACACACCTGGAAGGGAAGATCTTAGTATCTCCTGGGAAGCAGGGAATCCACACAGGGCCTTAGGAAAGAGTGTGACTCAGTACCAGGTTTCTCACAATGGCCGGGAGCTCCGTGTCTCCTTCTGGAACAGTTCTTTCGACTCCAACTTCACCTGCCTGGTCAGCAATCCTATTGATCAAAACAGAGCCTCCTTTGACTTGCACAACATCTGCCAGAGTGATGAAGGTGAGCAATATATCCTTTCCTTCATTATCCAGGGGAGGTGCTTGTGGTGGTGAATACGCAGACTGGCCCTTAACATGAGGGATTTGAGGAGATGTGTTTGTATTAATAAATGCTGCTCTTCACATGCTTGTGAGCAGGATCTGATCCTGTGAATTGCTGCTGCTCCCCCATCTCCTTCTATTCCTAGCTTAAGACATTGATTCAGGGCAGGCAAGTGTGTCTGACAGGCATTCACAGCCCAAATCATTGCAATACAAACGGGACAGATTAGCAGCACTTCCTTATCTCTTGTTATTTATTCCAAGACTCTCAGTCAGGTGTGAGCATGAGGCTCTGAATCTCAGGGTCATGGGTTTATGTTTTGAGAGACTCTTATTGCTCATTGCAGGTGGACAGTTTGGACCCTTAAGTTGGAGTACATCGCTTATCACTGCCCTCATTGTTCTTCAGTGGATAATGGTGATGTGGACGTTGATGTACTGGAAGAGAAGAAAAGGAAGGAATAGAAGAGGTAGAACCATCTGTATTGATCTTCTTCCCATCTCTCCTGAGGAGGGGGCTTCCTGCCAAATATACCTCTACCTTTCTTTTGCTATCCTGATAGGAAGAGATTGGTCAGTGCCATGGACTCAATAATGTCTTTCATGTTCACTCCACAGGTATTCATGGTAGCCCCTCAGAAGATGGTGATGATGAGGTGAGATGATCGGTGTGCAAAGCAATGATGGGGTGATTGGTAGATAACAACAACAACAACAATTTATTATTTGTACCTCATCATTACTGATACATTTGGGAGACATTTATTACTTACAATATTATTATTAAAGTTGTAATCTGTTATTAAAAAAAAAAAAACTCCAGCAAAAACAACAACAAACAGATTTCAAACAGGCCAGTGACCCAATAATAAACAGCCATCAATTTGGCACAACCCATCCCTACGAACCATCTCTGCTTGTCTGCAGAAGCTTCTCTTAAAATTACCTTTCACTGGCACTGGACTCCTTCCCATCCAGCCAAAATAAACTCTAGCATCTCTCCCTTATGCTGGAAAGGCTTCGGAGAAAGAGGCTCATTTTCATGTATGGTGGAGTTGCACGTTGGTCTACGCCTTTTGGGAAAAGGTGCTTCACATTATTTCCAATATTACGAAGCAATCCTTTCCACCCACATCAGCTCTTGCCTTGTTATCATTAGACTCAAATTTAAGCAATAACCCTAAAGGCAGAGACTATTATCAGCAGTCCGATTTACAATAGCTCGATACTGGAAACAACCTATAGATTCCATTTGGAATCTGGGTAAATAACATTTTGAATGTGGCTCTAAAGAAAACAAAAACAGGCCAGTGACCCAAACCTCCTGATCAAAAGACCTTAGAAATTGATGATGGCACAAGGGGAGGCAGGGCCGTGTTTACCATATGCGGTGCCAGGGTGCACCCAGCCCCCTGAAATTACCATGGTTAGTGTTGGGGTGGCCGTAGCTGTGCACTGCCAGCCATCAGGGGGCGCAACTCTCCCCCATGCCGCTGCAGGAGAGCGATCCCCACAGAGGCTCGGGAGGGAAGTTGCACATCCACCAGCCTTATGGTTGGCAGGGCAGAGCTGGTGGGCGTGCAGGGAAGGGGAGGCCTCCAGCAAAGCCGTGCAGCTCCTCCACTCGCTGGGTCACTCCTGATAGGCCGGTGCCCTGGCACAACGCACAACCAAGCCCTATGGGAAAGACAGCTGTGAGGGGAGGCAGGCAGCTTCTGCAAAGATCCTGTTCCCATCAGGGAAACATGCACAGTTAAAGTGAGCAGAATTGAACCCTCCCCTCTCCAGCTAGGGAACGGAGAATTCAGCCCTCTGGTCTCAGGCCTCTTCTTCCCAAATCTTTCCCCCAGTGAACCCAACAGGATTGCACTCTCCCCTCACCAGCTGTTCTGGACTCTTCCCAAAATACAGTGGTACCTCTGGTTGTGAACAGGATCCGTTCTGGAGCCCCATTCACAACATGAGCAGAACGCAACTCGCATCTGCGGGTCGCAAAATTCGCCACTTCTGTACATGCGCGTGACATCATTTTGCGCTTCTGCGCATGCGCGAGTGGCGAAACCTGGAAGTAACCCTTTCTGGTACTTCTGGGTCACCGCAGAATGCAACCTGAAAACACGCAACCTGAAGCAAGCGTAACAAGAGGTATGACTGTACTAATTTTATTGTTGATTTAACCTGGAATCTCAGATAATAACTGAGTGCTGGAGAATGGAAATGGCCTACTTTTGTCAATTCAAAATGGGCAATTTGACCTGCTCTCTTAGGGACTTAATTATGGTAAGTTCTCCAGTGGAACTAGAAAGCTAGCCCTAAAGGCTGGGGCTGAGGTGAAGGGAAGATGCCTGCTTTTAGGCAAATTGGTGTCCTTTCTTAAAGAGCTCTGGACCTGGACCTGGACAGGACTTTAATTTGGTCCAGGGTTAAGGTGGAACTCAGGGGGTGCAACTCCTAAGAGCACCTCGTGCCATTTTTTTCTCTTTCCCTCCAGGTTGACTCGGACTTCCCAAGCAGTTCCAAACTACCCAGGGAATCTTTTCCTTCTCTCAGTTCTTATGCAGTCTCAGAAACAGAGCCCTCAGAAATTCCACACTGCATCCCACAGAATATCAGGGACATCTCCTGGAGCCACTGCCAAGGAATTCATTGAAGGTTCCTCAGGGGAAAGACCCATTGCTAATCTCTCAATGTTGCCAGTTGAGCCGGAGCTACAGCCTACCCAGCATCTCTAAACACTCGTCCCAAAAGTCCTGTGACCAGGACAGAGAGCAAAATACCAAGACTTATCCAGTGACTACGGCTGGTCTCTCCTTGAGGGCAAGGAGTCCCAGAACTGCCTTCATCACCAGCACCAGCAAGAGTGTCTAAGGCACTCCTCTTCAGCCTCCCTGTTGATGGAAACAGCACAGGAAAGACTGGGTGAGTGAAGATATACACCAGGAACAGGGGAGGCGGAGAGATAAAAATCTGCAATGGATCAAGGAATGCATAAAGATCTACAGCAGCCAGAGTATATAAGGCGCTCCTCTTGAGCCTTCCTGTTGCTGGAAACAGGACAGGTCTCTGGCTCCTGGAACCCAGGCACCTTGCCTTCCCTTGCCTCTCTTTTCCTATTTTTCTGGGATGTTTCAGGAACAAGGGGCGAGAGAGATATAAAAATCTGCATTGGGAACAAGGTAGGCATAAGGATCAGGAAGAAGCATGAGAGCAGCACCTCCTATTTGCCAAGAGGTCCCTGCAGAGGCCGCATTGCAAGGGCCTGCCAGGGAAACAGAAGAGCTGGCCTCTAAGGAGTCTTCCACAGCCATTGGTGCCAAGGTGGCTGCAGCAGAGGGCAATGCATTGCTGGGAGGCTGGATCTGCCCCCCATGGATCCTGCCATCTGAAGGGGTTGCATCACCTTACTTCATGGATGGGCCAGCCCTGGGAGTGGGGCCTGTTGTGAGGGAGTGACAGACCACGAAACACATACTGTGCAAGTTCGCCATCTATGACCAACCAGGTGTTGCAATCTTTACCACCAGGCAATGACCTGAGGCAGAGCTACTGAAAGCGCAGAGGAACATCAACAGGAAATTGCGTCAGAGTGTAACAGTAAGTAAGAGAGAAGTAAGCAGAGTTTACTGGAAATAGTGATGGAAGGGAGCATTAGGGTGTGTTTTTCGGCTGATGACAAGGGGTCCATGGCTGGTGGGTTTTTTTAAGGGAGCGACGGGCCTCAAGATCCAAAGAAGCAAGGGATGTATTCCTGTTAAAGCAGAATGTGAGAACAGTGAAGAACCAGAACTTGGTACAGAACCAAGGAGGGTTGCAATGAACAAAACAAATTTTGAAAATGTCTGTTTTCAATCATTCTGAGTGCAGAAGATCCCTTCAGTGGCGGAGCTTCATGCTCTGGCACCGGGAGATGGATAGCAGGTGGGGGCGTGGCGTGGCGCCCATAGGGGCGTGATGCCCAGTGCCGTGGGGGGGCAGCCACAATGGCACCCCACTGGGATCGTGCTGTGGGGGCGGTGCGCTCCCCCCACACTCCTCTTCCTCTGCCAGTGGATCCCTTTCTTCCAGAAAAGAGGAAGTTTAGTTACTACCAGGAGCTTTTAATGGCTGGCACCTGGTGGCAAAAAAAAAAAATGCATCCTATTGGAGAGGAAGAATGGAGTGGCTACAAAAAAAAGGGAAAGCGGAGAGCCAAATAACTGAAAGCAAAGCTGTTCCTCTCCAGCAGGGGACAAAGGTGGTTCCTGCCCTGCCTTTGATTCTGCATATTCTTGTAGGTTTGTGAAATATACCCGGAGTCGAGTGCAAATTTCATGCTCTTTATTCAGCTCGTAGTTGCAACAAATGAAACTTTCCCCAAAACGTCTAGCTATATATACATTATTTATACAATGGGCCCTGCGTGATTGGCTAATTCCAGGTTGCTCCTGTAGGCCAATCAGGTCGCTGATTCACTTCCACCTGGAGCTGGATTGAGTGGCTCCTGCAGACCAATCAGACTTCTGCATTCTGGATCCTCTTGTTCTAGGATTCAGCTCAGTACATAACAGTTTGTAAGGGGAGGAACAAAGAGCAGAGAAAGGAGGAGTCAAAAACAATCAAGGGGAAACACAGCTTTGCTTGGATGAGAAGTGGGGGGGGGGGTAGCAAGCCTTTTTATCTTATCTGATGGACAACCTTGTGATCTGTTCTGATCTGCTGAGAAGTGAGAGGACGGAAGGAGCTGACCTTATAAGGTACGATCAACCTTATTGCTTATTTTAGAGCTCCTATCTTGCGCTGTGCAGAAAAATGCAGCTGTCCTTCTCAAAGTGGTGAGCTATCGGTGGGACGCTCCTCCTGGGGGCCGGAGCAGCTAGCTCTGTCTCTGTTGTATGTGGCCAGATCTGTCAGAAGACTTTTGTTAATAGCCAATCTTTGCAAAGAGAGTGATTCTGTTCTGCCCCCACATTGCACACACAGCACTACACTTCCGTAGAGAAGCTAACATGACTTTTTCTTGCAGATGTTTCCTCTTCAAAATGTTGCTGTACTTTCCTCTGGATAATTCCCACACTGTTTGTCCTGAAGACCAGCAAGACCTGCACCAGCAGCTGTTTCCAGGAGGCTGCGGAAGAGACTGACTAGTGTTGTCCTCCCCAACATTTGCCTCTTGCAGCTGCCAGACTCCTCTGGAGAAGTATTTGGGAGCATTTAAGCCAGGCTGCTTGGAATGTAGCTAGACCAGGACCAGAAACTTCATTGTCAGTTAACTCTTGTGTTGCTTTGTGTCAGGGGACTACCATCGGAACAGGAGAGGGAGGCAGGGGGGCCGTTGGGATACAGAGAGCTTCCGAAACTCCTGAGGAGCAGTTCCTCTTCCAGCGGTGGGAAAAGCCACACCTCCAGAGGAGAAGAGAGGGAAGGGGCCAGCCAAGAGAGGAAGGGGCTCGAGGATGCTGAGGAGAGCCCCCAGCGCCTCACCTGGCCAGGAGGGATGCACGCCACTTCCGTCGCCCAGCTTGCACAGGGGGTGAAATGCAAGGAAGAGAGGAGGGGGCTTGGGGTGTCAAAGTTCTTATGTTGGGGGAGAAGCCAGAAGTGGCCACTCCCGGATTCTGCAAGTGACTGAGACGGACATGAACTTTGGAGATCTGCACTGTAAATAGTTTGCACAATAAAACCTGTAAAAGACAAGTTTGGAGTCCTGCCTGGTTACTCGCGAGCAACCAGCAGCAGCATCTGACACTTTGTATTTGTGGGATGTAAACACAGGAGCAGTCAATGACAACATTCCTAGAGTGTACATGCTAGAACATGGGGGGGATGTCTGTCCAGCAAGCAGGTGAACTTCCTGGGGACGGACTTCCTCCACATGTGACCAGAGGTGGGTGTGGCCTCACCTGTGCAGGTAATAACAAAAGCACAGGGCAGGCAGACCCTCTCTCTCTCTGCCATTTTTCCTTCGACGAGGAAACATCTAAGGATGCTCTCTTGGCTCCCAGCCAAGAGAGGAGATAAGGCCTATCTTGCTATGAGATAGATTCTAAATCTATGTAACCTTTTTAAGCTGTGCCTTCTGGGATCACATTGTGAACAGGACGTGAGTAAACTCTTTTATACTTTTATGAAGACTGTGTCGTGTCTTGTATTTTAAGAGGGAACTAAAGGGGAAATTACCAGGGTAATTATTATAGAGGTTCTAGCGAACCTGTGCACACGTTACCGTTGCGTACTAAAGGGGAATGTATGTAAACTCTGCTGATATTTTGGGAACTTGTTGGCACAAGTTGGATCAGGATATAATTAGTCAATATATCCTCTCCTGCACCCCAGAACATTCCCACAAAGGGTTAGTGGCCCCAGTATTGCATATTTCTGCGTATTTTTTGGAGGATTGCACTGGATTGTGATTTTGAGTTGAGTAGTATTTTTCTGAGTTAACTTCCTGGTAAGCACATGGTCCTTTGTTCCATTGTGCAGTGGGGATTAAGCAACCCACCCCCTTCCCTCAGAGTTCACAGTGACCCAAGGCAGTGAAGAATTGTTTCGTATTTTGAGATTTTTGAGATTTTGATTTTAAAATTTTGAGAAATTTTGAAATTTTGAAGAATTTTCAAATTTTGGATTTTAAGATGGCTAGAGCAGCTTTTGATAGTGATGCAAAGCTAGGAATGCCTGTGCTGAATGAGTACAATTTCATGCACTGGAAGCAGCGCTTGATAGCATGTTTGGATTATAAGCACATTTTGGAAGCTTTAGAGCCTCAGCCTACAGGATCGTCTGAGGGAGATTTAGCCAAGATAAGTGCTTGGAAACGCATGAACAGCGAAGCTAGACACATAATTTTGAGTGGACTTCGTGATGAGCAGCTATCATTAATAAATAGCACAGATGATGCGTCTCAAATCTTAAGAGATATTGAGCGCGTGTATGGAGAATCTAGCATAAACAGCTTCAGAAACTTGGTGTGTAAATTAACCAGATTGAGGATGAATTCAAAAGAGGAATTCACAGAGCACATCAACAAGTTTACTGAGATTATTCAAAGAATTGATCTGACTCCCAAAGCTTTTGATGAGGATACAAAGATAGCATTTTTGTTATCATCACTTGGACCACGCTTTGGTGCATTTGTAAGTTTGATGGAGCATAGACAAGGTCTGACATTTAAAGACTTGATTGGTTATTTAAAAGAAGAATGCAGAGATAGAGGTGAATCTCCAGTGAGAAATGCTAGAAGCAAGGACAGCAGTTATGCATCTAGGCAATGTACAAAGTCCAAAGAGATGCCTAAGAAAGTGATTTGCTTCAATTGTAACAAAGAAGGACACATTGCAAAGAACTGCAGAGCTCCTAAAGCCAAGAAACCCCACCCCTTTCAGCCAAAAGGGGAAAAGAAGGGGAAATGTGAATGCACATGGTTACTGCAAGAAAGGAACTTAGCTGTCCAGAATCGTGAAAATAAACGTAACAAATGGATTTTAGATTCAGGTGCCAGTTCGCATTTTTCATATAAAAAGGACTATTTTAATGAGATTAATGAAATAAATGATGAAGAAGGATCTGAAATTGAGATTGCAGATGGCAACATTGTTAAAGCAAAAGGTGCAGGTTCCATGAGCCTGAAATGCAGTATAAACAATGAATGCATTGAGAACACAATCTCTAGAGTTTTGTATGTTCCAGAGCTGAGTTGCAATTTAATCAGCGTGTCCACTTTGGACAAGAAAGGTTTCCAGGTCACATTTGGAAATGGAGAATGTAAAGTGACTAGAAATGGCAAAGTGTTTGCTCAAGCAAAGCTAATAAATGGTGTATATGAGCTTGATCTTTCAGAGAACCAGTCTGCAAAAGTGGCACATTCCAGCCAGAAGGATGAAGCAGATCTGGACTTATGGCACCGAAGGCTAGGACACAGAGACGCCAGCCTCATTCTGGATCTACAGAAAAGAAATCTTGTAAGAGGTTTGCAGGTAAAGCAGAGCAACAAAGCTCCAGCAAAGTGCATAAGCTGTATTACTGAGAAGGCTGTAAAACCTTCATTTCCACGTTGTGCAGAACAAAGAAGCAACAAAGTGCTTGACATAGTGCACACTGACATATGTGGACCCATGAATGTTCCCTCACTGGGAAAGAATAGATATATTTTAATATTTCTGGATGACTTTTCAAGATTTTGTGTTGTATATTTCCTCAAAGAGAAGAGTGAGACAGTGGACAAGCTCCAGGAATACATTGCCATGGTCAAGAACAAATTCCAGAGAGCTCCAGCTGTGTTAATGAGTGACAATGGAGGTGAGTACTGCTCAAATGAAGTGCAGACTCTCCTGGCCAGAGAAGGAATTGCACACGTAACCACAATTCCTTACACACCACAGCAGAATGCCATAGCTGAGAGAAAGTTTAGGTCCATTATGGACATGACAAGGTGCATGCTAAAGGATGCACGTTTGCCACACAAGCTGTGGGCGGAAGGAGTGTACACATCGGTCTATTTGCAGAATAGACTGCCAACTAAAGGTGCAGAGCGCACACCATTTGAACTTTGGCATGGGAAAGCTCCCAATCTGTCGCACATACGTGTGTTTGGAAGTCCGTGTTACTTCCACGTGCCCAAGGAACACAGACACAAGCTTGACTCCAGGGCAAAAGCAGGTATCCTTGTGGGATATGCTTCTGGAGGCAAAGGATACAGAATTATGGACTTACAAACTGGTAAGACAAATGCATACCATGCGGT